TCTGTACGTGTTTGTAGCGTGTCTGTACGTGTCTGTAGCGTGTCTGTACGTGTCTGTAGCGTGTCTGTACGTGTTTGTAGCGTGTCTGTACGTGTTTGTACGACGCGGCGTAGCGATCGAGGGACAGCTGGCATAACCATAACTCACTAAGACGTCCGTAGTCGCCTCGAAACACGATTATTTTCCATGAAGTAACCGGACTCGGTGAGTAAAAAAACAATAGGTATTCAGGAGGCGCAACAATCGAGTACACGGTTCACGCAAGGTGTAAACAAATTGGACCTAGCTATGCGCGCCCTCTCACAAAATAACACTACATAATTATAAGTTTGTGAATGTTCGGCAAACGACGCGAAACTCGGGAATGTTCGGTAAATGACGAGGAAACTCGGGAATCTTCAGCAACGTTCAGAAAATTTGCTCGACAAATGTTCGAACACTCGTGAATGTTCGGGAGCGCCCGATCACCTCCTGAATGTTCGGCAAAGGTTGGGTCACCTCGTGAATGTTCGGCAAAGGTCGGGTCCACCCGTGAATGCTCGGCAGAAGTCGGGCAAAAGGCGGTTGCAGCAGTTAGCACGCAGGCGGCTTTGCGACGTGTCACGCGAGCTGTGCCGTATCACCGGATGTGTGTAAACATCGGATCACTTAATGCAACAGCTCGTTAGCAGCGCGAGCTAATTATATATATATATATATATTTTTTATTATATATCTTATTATATATATATAGTATATTAATATTACAACGCGCTAATATAGTTATCATTATATCTCAGTTGATGCGCGCACCGAGATGAAACAAAAAAGTAGTGCATGTAGGCATCAGGACGAGCTGCGCGGAGAATTATTTTGCGCTGTGGGAGGTGCGCCGCGCGGTATGCGCAGCTGACAGACATTAGCGCCACTTCTAACGACAGAGGACGGGCAGAAATACGAACGTGTTGAGAAAATATGAAGTTGGGTAATAATCATTAACAACTCGGCGGTGAGAGAAAGGGAGCTGTGGAATTTAAAACGAGCGTATAGACGCCAATGTTGTGCCTGCCTCGGATCTCTTCATCTACATCTCTCCTGATCCTTTTATCCTTTTCATCTCACTGGTCTTCTATCTTCGCTTTCCCCTCCCACTATTTTCATTTTACTTTCTATTTTCATTACCTTCTGCACAGCCATTAACACAACCATACAAAATATAATACGCACGCCTCACCATACACCGCACACACCGCACATATTGTTTTCGCTGCGCTATTTTGTTTTCTAGTATTCTATTTCCATTTCTCCATATCTGCCTTCCTTACCTCTTTTTCAGTTTGCTCCCTCTTCACGCTCGCTTCCTCCGCATTCATGCGGTTACTTTCCCTTACCTCAGCTCACTGCCTGCATTCTCTTCCAGCAAGCGCCTGCTTCCTCTTCCTTTCTTAAGTCTCGCTTCCCTAAGTCTCGCTCCTTCTCGCCGCCTCACCCTCCCAAGCGCGCTCGGCCATCTCAGCTCGCTCCTCCCTAGTCTCGCCCCCTCTTCTTTCTGCGCACCTTTGCTTCAGCCGCAGCCTTTCTCGGCCACGCAGTTGGAATGCACGTGCGGGTGTTCTGTACACAGAGGCGCTGCGAGCACAAGACGCGGCAAAAGCGACGATGTGAGCAATTAGCCGAAACTAAAACCAGCATTCCCTCATCTTCCTGACCACCTTCGTTCCCGTGAAGCGACGATGAGGACGGGAGCACGCTGCTTCCCTGTTATATTAACTATTTTTTGGATTTTCTGCCGCCGCAGCCCGCCGTGAAGCGTAGGGTTACGGGACGTGCGAAGTCGTTGCCTAAATGTTGGAAACAATTAGCGGCGGCGAAGAATTTGATGACCGTCACGTCAGGATCGAGACCACCGCGATTGGCTCTCGAACGAGGAACGCAAATGTGAGTGAGCGGCGTGCGTTGCGTCGCGGTCGCGTGTGTGTATGGTGTGTTGTGTGCGTGCGTTGAGCCTGAGACCCGCGAGTTGCTACGCCCAACAGCTGCCTGGCTTAGGAGCGCGGACATTGACTCCTTTAGCGCTATCGCGGCATGGTTTCAAGCACATGCATACGTTTACATGTCTATACTATTTTGATACCAACCATTATTAATATTTACTAGCCGACACTAATATTTCCCGAACGGTTACTATCGATACTGATCTATATAATCGATATTTATTTGATACTAATCGATACTGATTCGCCTATATTAATCGTTGTGAGTGCAGCTTAATCGCGTGGCCATTGCCTCTGGCTTGCGCGCGATGTAAGCGACGCGTTGACGTTCGCCTTCTGCATCTATGATCGGATTCGTATCCTTACACGCCCTGTCCGCCTGACACCCGGTCGCTGTACATGGTCACCTATACAGCACAGAAGAAGATGAGAGTGAGGGAGCGAGACAAACCACGGAAGTTGTTTAACACACGCGCGATTTGGTTTTAAATGTGGATATACGCTCGGCAACAAAAGCCTAATTACACCTACTTGTGGCAGCTACTTGCGTTGAAATATCACGAAATTGTTTGTTTGAGCAGAAATGTGCTCCGAACTTAGCGGATTTGAAACAATGTCGACAGTGAGTTATTCGGCGTATAGATACGTTCGTTGCGTCGCGATGTCAAATTTGGATACTGCCAACGTACTAAAACGATACACATAATTATGTGAGCGAGGGGGTACGCTAGCGCAATATGTTCTGGGAAGCGGAAACACTATTATCTGTTTCTGATTTGATAAGTAATGTGGATAACATGTTCATTTAAACAAATTTCACAATTTGACTGAACGAACATAATAATAAATTTTTAACTTATAATAGAAACGAATGCGTAAGCTCGCTCGGCTGATGTCCGGAAT